ATTTTTATTACGTTTTTGAGACTGCTATTATTCATAATTATTCTTTCAAACGAGACAATCTAATCTATAAAATGGACTTTCTAATTTATATATGTTTATTAAGCATATCTTATCTTGCATAGTATATGCAACGATCTCTTATACTTTTATACTCCAAGGTTCCAATTGATGCGAGTTAACATAAATTCTTAGTTAACACATGACACACAATTATCCGAATTTTCATTTGTCGCTTAAGGTTTCAGCAGGTAAATTTATGCTTGACTGAACCAATCAATAGTCGGGGTTCCCTTGTAAGGTGGATTTGTAAATAATTCAACTATGTCTGTTGTTTGTTTCGCTTACGGATTTCGGGTATCAGACCTCAACGGGTACAAATAATGTTTTATGGGATAAAAATCGCACGTAATTAATATAAATAATGATTTATTAATAGGTTTCTGTTCCCCTTGAAACTCTGAAAAATTTACTAATATTCCCCTGATAATCGTTATCTCACAGTAAACAGCGTTTGAGTGTCTTTGGGGCTTCAATATCTCGATTCGTCTATCCTATATTTCCCCGTTTTCCTTAAATAAGATTTCACCTAGGTTACAAGATTACAATTGCTGGCCAAACTGGATTTTAAATTCAACTACACCACTTAGAATTTTGCTCCCACGAGGAAAAATAAATAAATGGAAGTATGTTCCATGTGGAGTTGTTTGTCAATGTTTTCTCTTTCTTTTTCTTTTTTTACATTAATTTATTTATTTATTTATTAATTTATTTTTAAATACGCTTTTCCTACTTAAGAGTCAGTTTTGACTGTAGATCAACTTATGTATCTACTTTCATGGATCAAACAAATCTGTAGATAGTGAACACAATATGCTAGGTTTACTGGTACGAGTGAAGTTTTTACTTTAACTACTGTCTAGTCTATTTACTGCCTTTCTCATCTTTACAAAAAAAAATTCATTAATTATTTTCTTTTTGTTTGTTGAAATATGTATACTGTTCATATTTCTACTCAATATGTCAAAACCTGGGGAAACACAACAGCCTGATGGTCAATCTTGAGTACGAGAAAACAAGGGAATTTTGGGTAACGAAACACTGGCCTGAGGGTCAGTATGGAACTTAAACCTACTCTTGGAATAATAAAAACAAACGTAGAATCCTACATCTCAGAATGGATCCAAAAAATTCGAAAGTAGAATTGGATAAACTAGAGGTGCTAAACACAGTAGGCTTATGCTAATGTTACATAGGGCTAAACTTAGATTAGTGATAGCACTATATACTGGCCACTAGCATCTGAGAAAACATTTATATAATACGGGTATATTCAATAATGACATCCAGAAGAAGAAACAGCCACCTATAGCATCTTAGAATGCAAATCAACCGCTCAAGAAAAACATAACCTGGGATTCAAAGAAAGCCCAGGGAAAGGAATTGTAGCAACGAAAGTCTATGACCTAGTACTCCATAAAAGAAAGACCAAAGCGACGGATTGAACTAAGGAACTAGGAAAATACAATAAGCCAGAAGGTACAATATGTACAAAAGAAAAAAACAATCAACATGTAAGCGTCAAGTTTAAAGTTATTTTCCGGCAGTTACCGATCATCCTGGTGTGTCTAGTCTCTTCATTGGTTTATCATCTTCAGTGGATGGGTTTACGCGTTTTCGTACCAATTTTGAAAAATGAATAAAGAAAATTAATCGAGCCTTACACGTGATCTATGAATGGAAATATGTAATTATATTCAATGCAATTGTGTTATTTTGGTTTGAAAGTCCTCCTATATTCCGGTGTCTGGTCTCGCTAGTTCTGTCATTTTTTTCTTTCGGCGTCTTCATACGATCAAGCCACATTACATTTATTACTTGTATATGATGGTGGTCCCTGCAGTTTTTTAAAGTAGAAAATGAAAAAAGATGAGTCCATGTTTAGAACTAAGAAAAAGAACCAGTACACAATTCCAGGGAGATTGAGCAGGCCGGGTTGATCGAAATCATCAAGCAGCAAATCTTATCGTACCTTGCAGGTCTTAATACAATAATTGTCCTGTAATAATTCCAGAAGTACGAAAGAGTATAAAAGCACTTTCTTTAAATTAGTTAATCAAATCATCACTGTTGGACCCATTTCCTTTTGCATTGATTTATTTAAACAGACTAAGTGCTTTTCGGCGCTATGCTGAAAAATGACGACTGAAAATGGTAATTACATCTTGTGAATAGTATGTGACATTAGTATAGAATTGTTTAAGCTGGTGATGAAATAAATGAGGCCGGCCACAAGGCCTTCTGTACCTCGACCTGAGCAGATCTATTGTACTCTTCTTCTATATTTTTAACTCACTGGCCCGCTTCAGGTTGTTAATCTGTTTTTTGTTAAGCCATACCAGCGGCTCCTTAATGTAGAGTCTTGTTTGCGGCTTTTCCTCTCCTAGTTCCAATAATCTGGACCTACTGTTCTGCAGTCTCCTCTTCTTTCTTGGCAGTATCTGCACAATGTTTCTTCTGTCACTATTCCTATCCGGTGCATCTGGCTTCTTAAGTGGCAGTGCCCTGACAGGCATCAAAGCCGAATCCTGGTTCTTTGCGGTTACTTTCCAGGAATTCCTTTGTAAGTTTTGCGGATGACCCGTCTATGAATCTCCTCATGCCTGTGGGGTGTTTTGGACTCGTTAAGGATCCATTCTTGGATGTATCAAGGATCACAGTAAGGTTCTGGCCTGTAAAATTCATTTTGGCTCCTTTTTTGGCCAACAAGCTTGAGTGCTTCTATCCTTTTTGATGAGCCGTCAGTGTACCAGTGAACTTCAGTGTACCAGTAGAAATTGGCCTTCAGAAGTATTCCTTTACCCGCCTACCCCCCCTTTCTTGTTTTGTATATAGCTTTGTTAATAACGATCTTGTACTTATTGGTGAAGTTGTATTTGAGAATTGTGGCATCGATTGGGGTGCTTAGTATGGTATCTGCCTGTATCTCCTCCTTCAGTTTCCCTTTTTCGTTGAAATGGTCTATCCTTGCAGATGGTTGTCCATTTAGCCTGTGAGCCGCTGCTTCAATATACAGTGGTTGAAGGTTTAATAAGATCGTCGAGGTAGTAGCAGTTGGCGTTGTTCTCATGATTCCAGTGTCACAGCTTTAGCCGGAAATGAAAGCATTTCAATTACATAATACATAAATACATCTTGCCATATTAATAAATCACCTCTCAGATCTTTGTAAGAAAGTGATTTATATAAATTATCATTTTCTTTATTATTTTATTTATTGATTAGTTGTTTATTGGGTCCTGTAAAAGTTGTCAGCAAGTTCCTTATCAAATTTAACTAATTTTGTCGTTTTAACCACGTTCATTTCAATGTGTAAATGTAGATATTTGTTTATGAACATAATTTGTCAATGTTGCTATTAATGTTGACATTTGAATAACAATAAATTTTTATCCAATAATCAGCAAGCTCGAGGGGATTGGTGGTCGTCTGTGCCACCCCCGAATTTGGAAAGTCGTTCGGGCAGAGCGGACAACCCTCGCTGTATGCGCCCATGCGCCCCTTCATGCTTATTCCCCACCACCACACTTCTTTCTATTTAATCTCCCCGGAAAAACAGTCAGGTCAACTGAGTGCGGTAAGGGTTGGTTTACTGGATGGTGGGCGGGGAGGGAGACACTGACTCCGTTGCCCAGGAAAACCCCGAATTGATATCCATATGTTTGTCGTCTACCATTTCCCACCGTTGGGTCTCCAGTACAGATAGCGAAATAATGAAACATTCACACGCAAAAAAACAGACTTGTTAACTGTATTAATAGTGTGTCGACTTACACTGTACAGAAAGTGTCTATGTATATGTGTCTATTCGTAATGATCAGTGGCGTTTTTATTGCTTGCACCTCTTGTCACATGGCGCACAGTCCGAGAGTATAGAAATTCTATTCAGAGAGTTGACCGTGTGTCGTCGAGTGGCTGATTAATGTATTAACAAACCCAACTTTACTAAATCAATACAATACCCTCTCTAAAAATCTACGTTTTTACAATCACGATAGTATGTTTTCGTTCTTTTGTGACTTGTATTATCTCATTGGGCTTCTTGCTCGACTCAACCACGTCGCCTGCTTTAAATCATTTCAGTAGACTTAACACTAAACGAACAGTCGGCTTCCTTTAGTAGATCCATCATGGAAAGTCGTCTAAAACAGAAAATCAGCGGGATTATTCGACACTCTTGAATATTAAAAACAGTACTTACATATTCATGTCCTCCACTACATTGTTTCACCGTATATACATGTATCTTGTAGATCGCACATTTTAGCCCTTAAGATTCTTTTACGAATTCAAATGGTTATCATTGGCTATTTTGGATGAGTCCTGGGTTTTTATACTCGGCTAATTAACTTACCTCATAATGGCCGATGTCTCATTTGTAAGGGAAAAAACTCACTCTATTCGACTTTATACTTCATATGTTAATTTTTTTGTAAAGAAATTTAATGACGTTCTTCTAATTGAGTGAAAGTTAACTGTTGTGGGCATATTTGTTGCATCGCATAACACATTGTCTTCGTACAATTTATTGGATCTGATTGATTTCTTAGTCGTTTGTCGGAAAGTCCTAGTTGAGAAGACACATCATATGAGTAAATCGTTACTTGTATGTATATTGCCGGAACAATCCAATAGAGGACGTGCATTTCTTCAGAATCTTTTAAAAATGTATGATTGTGTCTCAAGTCAGGAAGCGTATCATTTTTGAGGGGTTGGGGGTTGGTAAAGGGGTGGCCCCATAGTAGTCCTATGGATCGATAAGTTGTATTATAAATATTTATATGTTAACAAACACTACGCGCAATTAAAAAATTAAACGAATGGAGGGTAGGGGGATTTAAATTTGTAACTTTTGCGAGATGTGGGTGGTGGTGGGGTTGTTGATTATGAGGAGAGAGGGTGGGAGAGAGTATCGAGCGAAGAGCGCGGGATCTGCGGCAGTTAGATTCCTGTATTTCTATGGGTGAGGAACGTTGGCAAGAAGAAAGCCCATGGTGGCATCAAGACCACCATCACCAGCACATGTTCTCCTCTTATAAACCGCCACAAACCGGCATGGCCGGTGGTAGTTATTCCAATCAACCCTCTTCTTACTGGTGGTGTCCCACACCTCAAATGGACAATAATTCGGTCGGGTCCGTCCATCACATACAACAACATAACTCCATGGTAGACCTTTCATTCTGTCCACGTGGTCTCACACATCCCCCATCCAACCTTTCAATAAGTGATTTTTTTAATTTTTTATAATGTTCTTTACTTTTAGAGTAGAGGAGCTATGCCTAAAGCCATGAAGGGTTCAGAGACTAAACCAAGAGGTAGGATGACCGCCTACGCATTCTTCGTACAGATCTGCAGAGAGGAGCACAAGAAAAAACACCCTGAGGAAAACGTTGTTTTCGCTGAGTTCTCTAAGAAATGTGCTGAAAGGTGGAAGGTGAGTCTTTTTACTTGTTAATCGTTAATTTCTAACGCAAGACTTATTTATTATTTTAGTAGAACAGTTACCCTTCAAAAACATACCACTGGTAATGGCGACGACAATTTGTTTCATACTTTCAAATCATGACCCAAAATAATTCCTTAACTAAATAAAAAGTAAATCAATAACATTGATATACATTTACTTTAAAAATATTTAAAGTTTTCATGTGAAAATTTTTAAAGTAAATCCATAATTGAGTGCAACAAACAACTCGGATAAAACGTCATCGTCCTCGAGTTATGCATAAATATATTCATATTTTCTCTTTTTTCCTTATTGATAAATAAGCCCCAACGATGTTGATGCGGAGTTTTAAGTAATTGTAAATCTCTTGTTTTATGCTTTAGTGTGTTAGTTGGATTGGAGTTGTGGAGTTTTTCTGCCGAGGGCGGGTGGAAAAGATAGGGTGGATTAGAAAGAGATCAAGGGAAAAGGAAGAGAGGGTGAGACCGAGTTGGATAAAAGCCTGATAGTAATATACAGAGTATAATTACAATACCCACCACCCTCCGTCCTTCATCTCTCACACTCTCGTTTTCTCTCTTTCTCCCACCCCCTTATTCTCTCTCGTTCTCCCATCTATTTCTCCCCTCAGACTTTATAATATTTGCGCGCGCATTTTACACCACTTTCAAAATCAATGGTTCGACCCTCGGCTCCGAGTTTCCTACACCCGACACTTTTCATTCGAAAATAATTTGATAATGCTTATTGATAGTTCTCAACTGGTGGGGGGCGGGCACCCGAATTTCACATCTGGCATCATCCAACGCTTATGTAACACGCTTGTTGTCGGGACGTGTTTTTACCTTATTTTTTGCCATCCGTACACCTCGTACATAATTGTAAATTATGGGACAATCGGTGTTCCGTTTAGGTCGACGTTTGAACGATTGACGTACCGCCGAAGGTGTTAATGGAAGCACGTGACCCCCACTTGGTGTGACCTAGGTCGTGGTCGACCATTGAGTGAACTATCTTATGGTCAACGACCAACCCCCCTCTTCGCTATACTACCTTATTCAGTTAAGAATTCAGACGGTTTACATTTAGGGACCGTACATGAAATTCCTGTAGAATAGTTTCCCAACTTTTAATAATAATTTTATATCATTAACTAACGCAAAAAGTAGTTTGAGTAGACTTCGAAAATAAACTCAGGCGCTTCGAGTTTTAATTTTACAGAGATTGTTTTTTGTTTTTAATTTTTTTAATATATAAAAATTTTAAAAAAAATTGTTTTTTAAACTTTTTTTTAACATACGACAAGAAAAAACAAAACAAATCTGTAATAATACTAATCATCAATGGGCTTGGCCTTTTCAATACTACCTATTACCGATATTTAAAAAAATATCCCAAATTTTAAAAAGCATCCCTTTATTAGTACTTAATTGTATTGATTTTCAACCTTGGATTAATTTTTTTGCTATTGAACCTTAAAATTGTTGTAGTTTGATCGTTGCTGATCACTTTTCGTCTGCCTGGCGGTCTAATTTATTCATTTATATGAGTTATTTTGCGAGTGAATCTGGAAAAAAATCTAATAATAATAATCTTCGATGGTGGGTCTGCGGTCGAAAATTGCCACGATAGATGGACTAGGATTATGGGCAGAAGGGTTCCACGACAGGTACGTTGCTATCTGACAGATATTGCGTGATATTTATGTCAGGTAAAAAAGTGACTGATGTAAACAGTTTAGCGCGAAAGTTAGCTATTCGTCTTCTTTTTTGGCATTGTACAGTAAGTTCTGTGTGAACATTGTTGACAAAAAAAGAGTGGTTTAAAGGTGAAATCGAAGAATGTACCACGTACCATGGTCAACCGGCGGCGGAACTACATGGGGTTAGTAGGTACAGCAGGTACCTACTTATCAGATGCTTAATTTGCAAAGTTACAGCAAGTCGTTCTGTTACACTAATAGCTTTTCTGAATTTGGTATCTTGCATTGATATAAGAGTTCAACCAGTTCTACAAGCAAGCTTTTCGAAATCAAAAGGTTTCATTCTTGGAAGAAAAAAAAATCGAAAACTGAGCTGGATCCAAAATACTGAGCTCAGACATAATTGATTGTAGGTACAGACTTTTTCTCGTCTCAAAATCAACTCTAGAACCATATAGAACTTTTTCCTCCTTTTCATATTTACAATAATTATATACTCCGCGATTTTGCGTTTCGATGCTTTCATCATGGCAGATCATTATTTGCTCTTACTGACCACCATTGTTAGGGATGGTTGTTGTCATTGCCTATTATTATCACTATAATTACTGACCTTTATTTTTTGGCCTAACTCCTCTTAATTATTATTTACTTTTAATTTTATTTAAATCTTGCTTTTTTACGAATATTTTAAACAAAACATTGTCAGCAAAGTAGGTCAGAAAATGTTCAAAATTTGGATTTGACCTCATTGTGATTGTAGCGTCATAAAATTTATTAAACAATAGATTCATTAAAGATACCGACTTTCGCGGAAATCGGTATGAATTAATTTTTTGACTGATAATTTCAAAAGCTAATGGACCGATTTTGATAGTTGATAATTCGTTTTAAAGAAATTTCATTTTGTAGCTGTATCAAACATTAAAATCGGACTATCATTTCCATTTCTAAAATGAGGTTAATTTCTTACAAATAATTTTGCTATCATGTGTATTTTCTTATAGAAATATTTCATATATTTTGGTAGTACATACTTCGTTAAAAAAATGTTCCTTTTTTTTCAAATGTACGTTGAAATCCTTTTAGCCGTGTTTGAATTATAGCCGTTTAAATCAGATATTCCGAAAACGAGTTCTCAAAAAGCGGAAAAATTTTAGTGGTCAAAAAATTGATAAATTTAAATTCAAATAAAAATGATTTATGGGTTTCTAGAGGTGCTAAAACGAAATTGCATATTAATTTCACGAGAAAAAAAATTAAGTCCTAGTTTAATTGAAAAAATGTTTGGTTTTTAAAATGTTTTGGTTATTGATAAACTTTGATAGCTTCTATTATATTTTTATTGCAATCTACATTAAAAATGCTGTAAAATGATAAATTCGCAAGAAGTGGCGGATACACGTCCGATATTTTGGAGTTACACTCACAAAAAATGTTTGGTCCCAATCTGTGACACACAAACCTGGTCGTCTCCTTGTTAGTTGAAAAAAACTTACGAGCTACTTTATGTCTATACAGGGTGTTCGGCTACTCGTGATACAAACTTTGCCAGTAGATTCTACATTCAAAATGTAACCAAAATGTTCTAATTAACTATGGTCAGAATTTCAGCGGTTTCGGCGTTATTCCACTTTTACTGATTTTTTAAGATTTCAAGACCTTGCTTTCAAATAAACAATTATAACTGCAAAACTAAAGGTTTTGTACAAATCCGTTGATACCATCGAAAACTACCTTAGATTTCCGATAAGATGTGATCAATACTAAACTGGTAAACATTCTTGAAATAAGCATTTTAATAGCGAGAACTTAGGATATTTTTTTCGAAGTTGAAAAACAACTATTGGTGATTCTAAACTACTATTTCCAAACCTAATATTAATATCCTTTTTAGTGATGTAATTTCTTTTTTAGTTACTTTTTTCATAGATGGAGAAATTGATGGAAGAAAGGAAAAAACCTTAGCTGACGGATTAGTAAGGTGGAAAAAACACGTTTAATAAATTCATTGAATATTTCCTTAAGTTTTTTATTTTGTACGTTTGCTGAAATTTGTTGGTCTCTAGGTTTGGAAGTAGTAGTTTAGAATCACCACAATAAGTTTTTCAACTTCAAAAAAAAAAATATATTTTCCAAAGTTCTGGCTAATAAAACGCATATTTCACGAACGTTTACAAGTTTAGTGTTGATAGTAATTAAAAAAACACTAAAAAGGATATTAAATGGAGTTCGCTTCCTGAAATTTGTTGGCCTCTAGGTTTGGAAGTAGTAGTTTAGAATCACCATAATTAGTTTTTCAACTAAAAAAAATATATTTTCCAAAGTTCTGGCTAATAAAACGCTTATTTCACGAACGTTTACAAGTTTAGTCTTGATAGTAATGGTTAGGGATGGTCTCTAGGTTTGGAAGTAGTAGAATCACCATAATCTGTTGAGATTCGGACCATAGTTAATTAGGACTTTTTGACTCACACCTTTCGATACTAATGACAAAGTTCACGTCATCAAAAGAAAAATCCAGTTTTGGGTTGAATCTGTTGAAAAAGAAGAGGTGAGGTGTTTTCCTGGGCTAAAACAAACTCTGAAGCTTGCGAACGGCACGTTGAGAAGTTGGGAGATGACCTTTGAGCACTACTTCCCAACACCCCGAAATACAATGCTGCGAGACCATGAATGGGTGGTCAAAATGTTTTCAATTTATACAAAGACAACCAGTCTATCATCAAGTGAATAGGAATGTTTGATAGACTACTTCAGACCCCACATTGAAATCTACTTTCGTATGCGATACTAACCCCCATTTTTGGCCTCGCCTGGAAAACAAAAAATTTCAACCGCTCATTGAAAATGCAAAACGTGTTCTTCCATTTGCCACAACTTAACTATGTGAATCCGAATTTTTTTTATCTATACTGACATCAAAACTAAATACCGAAGCTCTCTAGATGCTGAACCCGATATCCGTCTCCAGTTATCAAAAATCAAATACAACATATCCAAATTGTGCAGGTAAAAACAACCTCACTCTTCCCATTAATTCATTAATGTTCAAATTATTACTTTGGAAATTGGCTCGAGTTTTATGCGTTTTATATACTTATTGATTAGTTTATGTTCAATTTTATTTTTGTGTTCCAAATTATGTAAATTAAGTAGGTAGTAACCTATAATCCATTACTGCTTTGACTAGCAAATTAATAGAAATTATAAATGATGGGGTGAGTGTGGAGTTCGATCCTTTTCAAAAAAGATGGTTCCTACTCACATTAAGTTGTTTCGCAAC